GTAGAGACCACATTTTGTTTTTCTATCCATGGACGTTTGGGGTGCATCCATCTTTTGGCTATCGTGAATAATGCTGCTATGAACGTTAAGTGTGCAAAAAATCTTTGAGACCCTGCTTTCAATTCTTTTGGATATATCTCCAGGAGAGGGACTGTAGAATCATATGGTAGTTCTATTTCTAATTTTTTTTTAGAAACTTTCAGAATCAATTTTAAAAAGCAAATTCAACAAGGCTGATTTTGTTGCCTACAAAACAATAGAAAATAAGGGTACTATATGGTTGCTAAAAACGATTCTCTTCTTGGATTACATTAATATAATTCAGTAAGCCCTCCCCACCACATGAACTCCTCTAAAGTTAATAGAGCCCAGAATGACTAATTAATATATACAGTATATACAGTTCAGGAACACTTATTGGATACACTTACGCTTTGAGGGACAATCTTTATTTATTAACCAAATATCATTGAACACTTACTCTCTGGAAGGCATTGTGGGAAACCCAAAATATGTCCAGCTTGGTTCCTATTCTCTTGAAGCTTCCAGTTCCAAAAAGGCAACTACATCCTTTGGTATGTAGTGTGTTAAATAGTGGTACAGAGGGCAGGTTCTAGGAGTTTGGGGAGGCAGAGGTTGTGGAAAAAGGCTTCCTGGAGGAGGTGACATTTGAGTTTGATGGAGTTTGGGCAGGTGGAGAGGTAGGGGCTGGAGGGTTCCAGGTGGCTGGTACAGACTGAGCCACAGCAGAGAGTGCATGAGTTTACGGAAGGGTGGGAGACTTGGCCCAAGAAGCGGGTGCAAGAGACTAACGAGAGCGTTGCATGCCAGGTGAGAGGATTTAAACTTCCGTGGTAAGTGGGCTGGGGGGCCAGGAGGGATCTGGAATAGGGGAGAGACATCAAAACAGTGTGGTGATGTGTACAGTGAGAGAAACTCGCAACTGATAAATTAGAAGGGAGTTAAATACACCAGGCCTGAGGCAATGAGTGTTTGAATTTGATGGGGAGCAGGGGTGGGAGGGGCTGAGAAATGGGTAGTGGAAAGGAGGGCCCAGCTAGAGACTGCGGTTGAGCTGATCTTGGCCCCTTTTCCATGGAGGTCCTTCATTCTTCTCTCCTTCCTTTTTCTTTCTTGCTTTCTTTCCTTTTTCTCTCTTGCTTTCTTTCCTTTTTCTCATCCTTCCTCCCTTTCTTCCTTCCTGCCCTTCTTCCATCCACTTCCGTTTTTTTCCTTCTTTTAAAAAATTACTATGTCTATCTTGTCTTTTGATGATCAGTCTCACCCATTTTGGTTTCCTTCAGAACCTTGCATGGTAGCCTGCACTTGGCAGTTGCTGGATAAATATTTGTTGAATTGCAATTGGTAACTGATTAGAAAGTGGGGCAGGGGCCAAAAATAACCAAAACCTTACGCCTGGGTGATGGGAGAGAGGAAGATGCCAGGAGAAGCTGGCCAGGGTTAAAGAAAAGTTGAATTTGACCTGCCAGCGGGCAATCTAGCTGACATAAAATCTTGGGATGTAGCTAGAAGGGATAGCGGTTTTGAAGAGCACACTCATCTTCATGCCCGCTCCATCTGGGGAGACAACAGCTGTGTTTAAGAGCACACGTTTTCTGGTCAGCCACTAGCCAAGTACCAAGTTACGTTGTCTCTCTGATCCTCAGTTTTCCCGCCTATAAAAGTGGGATAATGTAGTACTTTATTAGGCTATTGTAAAAGCTAAAGTCATGTGAAATGTATTACTACCTGGGATAAATGACAGCTAGAGTTATTAGCTATTATTACTATTCCTAAGGTTAGGAGAAGGAGCATACAGGAGAACTGTCACATCACATCACTTCCCTGAGTAAAGCCAGCCATGGCTCCCTGTGGCGTTGAAGGAAATGCAAGCTCCTGCCTGGGGTTCCTTAGGCCCTCTGTGATCACATCCCTGCTCGCCTGTCGTCCAGCACGTCCTGTCCCTCTTGAAGTTCTGCCTGGCTGGACCCTGTGCATGACTAGCTGTTTTGCTGCCTTGGGGCCTTTGCATTTGTCTTTTCCTTTGCCTGGAATGTCCTTTGCCAGATCTTGCATGTGTGGCTTTTTTGGGGGGTATTCAAATCAAGATATAGTGTCTTGGCTTCCTGAGGTTTAAGTCTCAGCTCAAACATCACCTTGTCAAAGCAACCTTTCCTGACCAAGGCCCCCCCTGCTGTACCCTTGAGCGCCTTCCCCTGCTTGATACTCTCCACAGTACTTGTCAGGATCTGTAGTGACCTTGGGTACTGTTAATTTTCACATCTGTCCACCCTCATCCCTGTCCTGCCCTCTTGATGAAAGTACCATGAGAGCGGCAACCTTGTTTGGTTTACTTCCAGATCCCCAGCACCATCAACACCACAGGTCACACAGGAGGCACTCAACACATACTTGTCCAGTGAATAACCCATACTGAGATGCAAGAGGAGGGGTGACGGTTGAAGGGGAAAAGTCCAGAGAGGGTGGAGAAGGGCTCAAAAGCGCAGTTGGAGGAGCTGGTCTTGGTGAGGAGGGATCACTTATTTATCACATGGATGGGAAGAGGGAGGAATGAGGTGAAGCTGGAGACATTTTGATGTGCAGGGGGGTAAGACTGTTTTGACATTTTCATAAAGTGAAGGGTGCAGTCACCTGCCAAGAGCCGAAGAGCAGCAGAAGCGGGTTCTGGGCCTAGAGGCCAATGGAGGGCTTGGGAATAACTGTGCTAGCTGCCATTTATTTAGCACTTAGACATCAGGCACTGTTCTAAGCCCTGGAAATGTAGTAACTGATTTCATCCTCTTGAAGATACTATGAGGAAAGGTGCTATCATTACTTTTTTTTTTTTCTATCATTTACTATTAGCCAGGCGCAGTGGCTCACGCCTGTAATCCCAGCACTTTGGGAGGCTGGGGCAGACAGATCATGATGTCAGGAGATTGAGACCATCCTGGCCAACTGGTGAAACCCCGTCTCTACAAAAATACAAAAAATTAGCCGGGCGTGGTGGCATGCACTTGTAGTCTGAGCTACTTGGGAGACTGAGGCAGGGGAATCGCTTGAACCCAGGAGGAGGAGGTTACAGTGAGCTGGGATTGTGCCACTGCACTCCAGCCTGGCGACAGAGCAAGACTCCATCTCAAAAAAAAAAAAAAAAAAAAAAAAAAAAAAAGATATGGATACACCTTCAATACATACAATTTTTCTTCTCAATTATACCCAATCAAGCTGAGGAGAAAAGACATAGAAACCAAGGCACAGAGAAGTCAATTAACTTTTGATCAGGGTCACACATCTAGGAAGTGGCAGAGCTGGGATTTGAACTAAGGCAGTCTGGTCATTGGAGCCTGTGTGAAGAACAACTATAGTTTCCTGCCTCCACAGGCCCCGTGCAACAGGTACATGAGGTTAGTAAGAGAGAAATAGGAAGACTGTAGAAGAGTACAAGGCAAGCCCAGGGGCCTTCAGGCAGCATGCTGTACCAGGAAGCCCAGGGATGAGAGCAAAGAGTCAGTGGGACAGGGTGGATGATTTAGGGTTAGGCACAGCAAAGATGGGGACTGAGGCAATAAAGAGAAAGAGTTTTCTGGGTAAACAGCACATGCAAAGGCCTGGAGGTTGGAAAGAGTTTAGCTCGCTGGGAGGAGTAAAAGGACAGTATCAGAGTATAGTGACAGGGGTGGGGAAGGGTTATGGTAGGCAGACGTCAGATTCTTTAGGGTGGTATTCCTCAAAGTGTGGCCCAAGCACCTCTGCCTCAAAGGCTCTTGGGTGCTGATTTAGAATGTAGACTCCTGTGCCTCATCTGAGACCAACTGACTCAGAATTTCCGGAGCCTAGGAATCTGCTTTTTTAACAATGTCTCCAGGTGATTCTTCTGCACATGAAGATTTGAGACCTACTGATGCAGGGCCTGGTGGGTTATGAGGAAGCTTAGGTTTCATTGTAAATGTCACTGAAGGGTTATCAACAGGGGAAGGATGAGACTGATATAATTAAGTCATGCTGCCTGCTGTGTGGAGAATGGACTGGAGGGCAACAAAGTTAAAGAGAAGACCAGGGCCAGGTGCGGTGGCTCATGCCTGTAATCCCAGCACTTTGGGAGGCCGAGGCGGGTGGATCACGAGGTCAAGAGATCGAGACCATCCTGGTCAAACCCCATCTCTACTAAAAGTACAAAAATTAGCTGGGCATGGTGGCGCGTGCCTGTAGTCCCGGCTACTCAGGAGGCTGAGGCAGAAGAATTGCTTGAACCCAGGAGGTGGAGGTTGCAGTGAGCCAAGATCGCGACATTGCACTCCAGCCTGGGTAACAAGAGCGAAACTCCGTCTCAAAAAAAAAAAAAAAAAAAAAAAAAAAAAAAAAAAAAAAAAAAAAAAAAAAAAAAAAAAAAAAAAGAGAGAAGAAGAAAAAAAAAACAAAACAAAAAAAAAAAAAAAAAAAAAAAAAAAAAAAAAAAAAAAAAAAGAGAAAAAGAAGACCAGGCAGGAGGCCATTAGGACACCTTAGGAAGGGACGATGGTGGTGGCCTTGATCAATAAAATGGGCAGTGGAGGTGATGAAAAGTAGATGTGTGGGGCATGTTGTTGGGGTGGTCGGCAGGAAGGAGAGAAATCAAGGCTAACTCCGAGATGCTTAGCCCCAGCAACTGGGTGGATGGTATTGACATTCTCTGAGCTGAGGGAAGACAGGTAGAGGATCTAGGCTGGGTGGTAGTAAAAGAACCAGAAGTAAAAGAATTTCACTTTGGATGTGTGAAGCCTGACATGCCTTTGAGACATCTGAAGGGAGATGCCAGATAACTAACTGGATATACTGGGGGATATACTGGGCAGAAACTCGGAAGAGAGGTATGAGGTGGAGACATTAACATTTGGAATCAGGGGTATTACAGATATTTACAGCCATGGAAATTGGTAAAATGCTACCAAAAGAATTAATGGACAAACAGAAAAGAACTGTTTGAAAAAAAAAAAATGCCACTATGCCATGTGGTGTCACTAACCTAAGTAACCTTAGGTTAGTCATTGCCCCCTCTGAGACTTTCTCTAGCCAAATGGGATCAGATTAGATCACCACTAAGGTTCTCTCCCTAACATTTAGTGATGCCACTGTTGCAGTGTGTGGCTTTAACATCATGAGGCTACACCAAGAGCCAGTTCTTCAACTTGTCCTGCAATCAGAAAGGCCCTACTGGTTGTCCTATGACAGAAGCCCAGCAGCTGGGGATGCCCTTTCCTCTCTAACCTCTGGAAAGACTGACCACCATGCCTGCGATTCATATTGCCTGCTGCTATATAAAAACTTCTGGTGTCAGTCTTCATCTGCTGGGGGGAAAATCACTCTCAGAAAGAAACACCCTCTCCTGCCAAGGCTTTGGGTGGGGCTCCGAAAGTTGTTTATGACAACACTGAGTCAGCACATTCATCAGGGTCAAGCTCACAGTTGGAGAGGACTGGAAGAGGGCCTTAGTAGAGAAGAAACCTCCAGCTGAGGCCTCCTCAGTCTCAAAGGGAATGGAATCAGAATCCACGAATTCATAATGGAGATTGGCAGGTAAGCACTGGCACCATGCTCAAATCAGGAGTTTCCTCCCAAAGTGTTAGACAGTTCAGATTAGAACAAAAAAAGTACTAAGTTTATGGACTTGATTACCCCAAGAGGTCATAAAAGTTCAAAACTGGTTTTCAAAAGCTGCAAGATGGGATTATGTGAAAACAGGCTCTTTGGGGGAGCACGTCTAAACTACTGAGACTATGTGAGCAAGGGTAACTGTGTTCTCCCCGAATGGGTATGTTAGGGTTTGTCAGGTTTCTGGGGCTGGAGGGATCACAGATCTCACCTAGTGTGACATTTACATGCATTAAGAATCAACATCCTTTCCTCTAATTGAGTTGTTTTGTTGCCTGAATCCTTAGGGTTAAAATAAGGGTACTTGGCTGGCCTCTGAAAGTATAGGACGCCTTTAGTAGCCTCTGAAAATGCATAATTTCTTCTTATCTCTGAGGGTGAATATACCAAGAATCCTTCTAAATGGTGTTTCCCTGTAAGACAGGTGATGACAGTGCAGGCACAGCTGATGGGGACTGCAGTCAAGTTGAATGGAACCCAGTGACACATAAGCCCTCCCTCCTGAGTGCTTCCTCACCAAAATCACGCTTTGCTTTTTCACACAACATATATTTATTCAGAAAAAAAATTTGCAATAAATTATAATAAAAAAGATGACATGAAATATAGAATCCCACTAGCAGCTTTGCTTAGTGATCAAGACGTTTTTGGGAAATATAACAACAATTACAGAATAAGAAAACAGTGAAAGGGAAACTAATGCAATGTCACCACATGGATTTGAACCGTTTCTTCCCTAGACAGCAGGTGCAGAGTTTTTCTCTACCAGGTGAATCTGAAATCCTTACTTCAGAGCAGCTACAAATTAATACCTTAGAGGACTTGGGGATTACAGGTTGGGTGCTGGAATAGGTGTGGCAGGGATGCAGATCTCTTCTGTCTGGGTCTATGTCTTGTCTCCTCTACCTAGAGATTGTCAAAAACTCTCAACCCTGTGTATGTTCCAGGATGAGCTGAAAAAAAGCTGAGGCAGTACATCAACTTAGTGTTTTGACCTTATGGAGAAACAGATTGGATACTGCACACGTGCAGCAAAGCCTCCACTAACCACACCCTTGATCACCCAAAGATCCCAGGTCAGCAATATGCTAGAAAACAAGCCCAGGAAAGGTATTTCCCTGTGGTATGACCTGACCCCAGTGTCTATCATCTGCCTCTTTTTGTGATCACTTTCTGGCCTTGCGGAGATGACTAATCTGTTCTGCTCTCAGTCATCCATTAACTAAGTTCAACACCCAGCCCCTGACCTATCGTATCTCCAGCCCTTTGGCAACAGTTCCTTGACTCCTATTGCTTTAACTCTCAATCAGGAGAGGGTTTAGCCATATTGCAGAATCCGTACTTTTTTTTTTTTTTGCTACAAAACTCAACTTTGAAGAGGTGGGGGAAATAATTCACTGGTGATGTCTTGGATATGCTAGAAACGTCATGGAGTCAATGCCCAGGATCGCACAGAGAGCCTGTAGCTTATGCTCCTTGCATTTAATGTTAACAGGCAAGGGTGGTTGTAACAAAAGAAAACCAGGAGGAAGCCAACTGCATCAGGCAGTTTTGCAGTCAGTGGCTGGTGGCTTGTCAAACAAAATAGATTAACTTTTTTTAAAAGGCTGTACCACAGAGCTTGAATAAATGACAAGCTCAGAGAATCATCTTGGATGGGAGAGATAACGTGCCTGGTTGGTCCTGTTGGCCAGTCTCTTTACAGAACACTGGATATGGTGACTAGGAGCCAAGATGAGTCTCTAAACCCTTTACATGCAGGAGCTGGTTATAGAGCCCAGAGTCAGTCCTGCTAAGAGAGGAGGTGACATCTGCCCTTACTACTTCAGAAGACCAGAGAATGAATTCTAAGGGTCATCCGCAATACCTTTGCTGTGGGAAGGAGCAATAGCTCTAGATGGGCCTGCCTGAGATGCAAGACTCCCTCTACTATGGGGCCAGTGTTGCTCTGGAGATAGATGTCTAGGCAGGAGATGGGTCTCACAGACACCCAGGATTAGTCCTTGTGTAAAATTTGAATAATAACAGGAAAAGGATAGTGGGAAGCAGGACCTATCAAACATGAATGCTCTCACTCTTCAGATACTCAAAGTGCTTCCATTCTGATTGTGATTCTCTCACATTGATGGGATGCCATCTCTAATAGTCCCTAAAGTTATGCTTCTAAGTGTGATCTGAGATAAGAGAATATGGTTCCACCCAGTGCAGAGCCAAGAAAAGGCCAATATTACAGAGACATAAAGACGCCATTGTAGTAGAAATGCACACACGCATGGAACATCTGTACGCAGACAGTGAGTTCACTGTTGAGGACACCCAAGGAGTCACTAGCCTCACTCAGACTTCGTTCAAAGTGACAGAACGAGAGGAGTGGAGTGCAAGGGAGTGATCCGGGAAGGGGTGGGTCAAAAGTGCATTATCCAAAGGACTCTGGACAAGTCTCAGCTACAGCAAGTAGTGCTTGTAGGCCTAGAATGGGAACATCTCAGAATCTAGGCCTAGAGTACTAAGGACAATCATGACAACTGGGTAGGAGGGCAACAAACACATCCCTAGTAAAGGAGTGTAAATACAGATCTTTTTGCCTTATAAAGAGAAAACACAAAAACACCAAAATACAGTAACTTTGGCTTGGCAATATAAGTCTAAAAGTATTTTACTATGTAGGATATGGTAAAGGAGGGGTTAGGAAATGCTCTTCCTTTTTACTATAAACAGAACTTGAAATTCTGCAATAGACCCTTCCTGTGGCATGACTTTTTAAATCATTCTGAAATACTTGGAGCCCGATATCGTCTGCTTCTAGAATCTCAGAGAACAGTAAAAGCCTTAGTCTTCTTCGCTCCCAAGCAGAAAGCCCAGAAGGAACTGAATAGCACGCTTGCGGTCACTTGGAGCCTGTCTTGCCATAAGGTTGGGTGGAGGCCTCAGGAGAAGACTAGAGAAGAGAGTAGCTAGAAGGTGAGAGAAAGACAAGTGGAAATTTTTGTCAGAAATAACCTAAGCAAAACCTCAGGGCTGGAGGGCCTGGGGACAAGGACTGTAGTTGGGAGGTGACTGCCATGTGCCTGCACATGCAGTAAGGTGTACACTGTATACAATGCACACAGAGTATTCTCAACGAACACCCCATGCAGCATGAAACACTCTTACCGATCATGTTGGGATTGACGCTATTGTATTCAGAGAATTTTAAGAGTTCTCGAAGGAATGCCATCAGGTAACGGAAAACATTTCTATGGCATCTCGGAAGCTGGGAGATCACCTGTTTTTAAAAACAGGGGTAGGCAGTGAGAAAAACAGGTAGAAGACGGGAGTAAGAAGAACTTACAGCTGCCGTAATAGTCTATAATCCAACCCTTGCAGGACCCATTTCATCTGTCTAACTTCTGTTGTCTCCTCATGGCCAACACGACACCTTCCAAATTATAACTTCAAAGTAAGAACGGCTGTACTATTTGATCCCCGTCCACTCAATGACCAGGCCATGTGGTCATCACACATTTACACACACACCCTGCTTCACAAGCAGGTCGGTGTTCATCTGCTCTTTTCCCATTTCCACAGGCATGTATAGCCATGGCACCTACCAAGTTGATTGGTTTTCTTTTCCTTTTTTTTTTTGAATGGTTTTCTTGATAATGTCACTTGGCATGGATGGGGACTCCTCCCAATACTCACTAGTCCAGTTCACAGGTACTCTCAGCTATTGCGCATCAAAATCATTCCAGGATTAAAAACACACACCAAGAAAAGAAAAAGAAGAAAGGCTCCCAAGTGTCACCCATCCTTCCTGGTAATGTCAGCCAGAATTCCATGTACAATTAGCTTCACCAATTTACCCCAGAGTAGAGGGATCCACCCCACTATGTTTTTCTGTGAACAGAAATAGGCCAATGGAAAAAAGACGGCAAATATCATGGGAAATAACCTATAATATAAAAGTGGCAACTCTCAATGTTGGTGTCCTGCCATTAATAACAAATCCAGACCCATCCTACCAGACAGCTGGCTGCCTATCTGGCTCTGTAAAACTGACAACTTCTTTATGGGGGAACCTGTGTCAAACATATCCTCAGATCAGTAGAACCCACCTGTCGGCAGATCCGGGGATCATGAGCAGAGTCAAGACATCGCTGATACAGCTCGTAACAGATGACTGGCTCTGGTAGGGCTTCCAAGAAAATGAGCAGTGCTTCAGCCACAGAGTGGTTGCTGCCAGCTGAATCAACTTCAGTCAAGGGAAAGGGGCTCCAGGAGAAAGGCCATACAGAGACCCAACTGACTCCTTTCCTCAAGCTCCTGCAGGGACTTCCTCTTATTTAGGGCACACTGGATCCTAATGGGGGTTTGATATTTCATTGGTTCAAGTGCCCTGCCGCTGAGTTGTTATAGAATTGGTCAAAGACTCTTGGCAGCTTTGGCCCAGCTTCAGAGTCAGAGGAATATAGCCTGCAGAATGACAGTTCACACTGGACCAGTCCTATAAACCAGCTACCCATGTTTCCCATGCCTCTCCCTGCCCTGTCAACAGTATGGGTGGTGGCAGGAGTAACATCACCTCAAGAAGAACAGTACCAGTGCTGTGGCTTCTATGCCCCATGCTTTTTAAAAATCACTGTTATCTACCCCTTGCTTCCTTTTAGTAGGAGCTGGATATGGAAAGAGGTCAAAAGTTCCTGAAAGGAAACGAGAAACTGGATAGTCAGTGGTTATCTTATAATAAAAGACATTACAAAGAAAATAAATATAGAACCACAAAAATCAAATGAAGGTGTGAAGAAGAGTTTGACCAAGTACTCATCCAGCTTCTTCAGCTTTGGTTGCAAAGGATACGGATTGTCTCAGGAATGCTGGTATCTAGACAATCAATGATCTGCTGGAGCTCTTCCTGCATTCCAGGGGTCTGGAACAGGTCCTCCTACCAAAGAAGTCAGAATGAAGGGAACAGGCATGGTAATCACTCCTGAGATTATGATTATACCCAAGGATCAGAAGAGCAGCAGGAAGCAAAAGGGAAGGGTGGTATGTGTGTTAGTAATTACAAATGGAGGTGTGAAAATAGCACATTTTTCCTATATCATCTCTCTAATCCGTGTAAAACATTATTTCAAATAAGAAAATGATCATTTCAAAAGTTGTAGCCTATACCTTATCAGGCAGGGGACTAGATGGCTAGATCAGGAAACCAGGTATTCTAGCCTCTTTTTAAATTTTTTTATAGAGGCAGGGTTTCACCATGTTGCCCAGGCTAGTCTTGAACTCCTCAGCTCAAGCAATGCGCCCATCTCGGCCTCCCAAAGTGCTGGGATTACAGGCATGAGCCACCATGCCTGGCCTACTTGGAGCCTCTTGACAAGAAGTAGAAGGCAGAGTCCAAACAGAATAACCACATTCAAATGCTAGTACTACTGAATGCTGGGAAAGAAGGAAATCGCATGCTCATACTAAACCTTGCTTTCAAGTTACATTACTCTTCAGTAGGTAAGAGAACATTACCTTTCAATTTAGTCCCAAGAATTGTCTCTTTTGGTGGCAAATGAGTTGGGGTGGCATTTTAGATAGGATTTAAAAGAAAAATTAGGATGAAGTTAAGAAAATGAGTTTAAAACCTGCTTTGGATATTAAGATCTCTAATGCCTACGTGACAGCCAAAGTAGGCATTATAGACTCAGGTGTGCAGCTGCAAAGGAAAAAGAGTAGTCAGGAGACAGGTGCTCTTAATTTGGCCTTGGCTCTGCCATAACTAAACTTAGGCCTTGGTCTTAGTTAGTAACTTAGCTTTGCATGCTTCAGCTGTGACATCTGTGATTAGGGACACTTCCACCCACCCAGTTGATTTGACAGTGCCACTGTGTGCAGGTAGCTTGGGAAAGTTAAAAGCACTATGCTGATGTGAGGTGTTATAATTTCCTATAGTATTTACACACCTTCTGAAGTTGTAGGGAAGGTCTACTCTCACTTACCTGGTGACAGGCGTATTTGAATAGGTGATCTACTAGAAGCCAGATCTCCTTGGGGACCTGAAGGGGTCTCTCGTTGGCACCTTCATCCAAAGGAACCTTTTGCAGAAGGGATTTCTCCTAATAGATGAAAAGGGATAAGAATCAAAGGGGTCTCAGAATAAAGACTTTGGTATAACTTAAAGCCTTTCAAATTCTGGTCATGCAGGTACAATGTGATCTTCATCTCTTAAGATTTTCCATTTCTTTTCACTGGGGACACCCGTGGTCAGAAGGCACTTGATAGTGAGTCCCACAGTTAAAGGATCTCCTTTTCTAAATGCTTCACTTAATTGTTCTGCATTTCATTTGAGTTTATGATGTTTATTACGTGGATGCCTTGTGTTTAAATCCTTTTGAAGGTAATACTGAGAACCAGTGCTCCAGTGATACAGTCATAGTGGAGTCCATACAGCACTGGTGACTTGGGGACCATTACAACTGTCCATATAGTACTTGGAGAGATATGGGTCTACACTTAGATTTTTGTTGATTTCTAACTTACTCTTCCTTCAGGTCTTACCACAGATACTGTTGTTTTCAATGCTGATTTAAATGAGCTTCTTTGGTTCTCAGGAATTAAAGACAACTCTTCCCAACATTAGACCCACATATGTGAATACTTCAGGCTTGATGGAACTTCTAATCTTAAGGCACTAAAACTCATAAGCCTTAAGGTCCAAAAATAGTAAACTGAATACAGCTAACCAAGAGGCAGAAATACCATGAAAAGTCTAAGGTCTGAGTCCAGAAGTTGCGGTTTCTAGGAATAGCTTAGCAAAGATTCTAGGGGCTTTTACCCCTTTCATCTATCTTTCTACTATCTGTTACATTCTTCTGAAAGAATGTAAGAGAAAAACCCAGAAGTGACATAAAAGAAGTGACACAAATTAAACCAATCACTATATGTGAATTGGAAATGGCTAGGAAATAAACTCAGTTATCTTATGTTCATGTAGTCAAATATAAATTACATGAAAAAATGTTTGAAATAGTAAAGGCATCTGAA